ATGCTGAGGACACCAGCGCTGCTATGGGCGCTGGCCAGCGTGGCAATAAGGATGCTCTACCTCACATGGGGCGCTTGGAAGTGGGGCAAAGGGGTGACCTCTCCAAGCCAGGAGCTGCTTTGGCACATATGGGTGTCCACCCCACGGGACTTACCCTCTTCTTGCCCACCTGCCATACACAGACCCCATATGCTCCCTACCCATGACATGGTCATGTTTTTATTGTGAAGAGCCTCCTGCTCCCTAAGGGTTTGGAGGAGGTGGATGGGTGCCGGTGATGCCACCCTGCGTGGCAGCATCCAAAACAGGTGGCTCAGAGCAGCCTGGCGGAGGGAGGAAGGGAGCGGGCTGGGAAGATGGTGTGCTCTGGGGTCCTGGTGCTTTGTTCTTGGGTCATTGTAAAATAACGATCTACATAAGGCGGCCAGCTTGGTGGATGGGGGCTCTCGAGTGCAATAAAGCGAGAAGGACTGGTCTGTTCCCCTGTGCCGTGGCGCCTGCAGAGAAGATGCCCCCAGGCACAGCAGGACGGGGCAGTTTTGTGTTCAGGAGGAGGAAATGGCTTTGAGTAATCTCTTTACCCCCATCCGCACCCATGGGGGAGAAGAGGGTCGCTGGGGCACCTCAGCTTGCCAGGTCTGCAGTGAGCACTGGCTACAGGGCGCAGCCTGAGCCAAGCACCGCAGGGGACAGCCACAGTCAGGGGGCTGAAGGCAAGCACACAGGGTTTCCATGATTTATTTGGGAGAAGTTCCCTTGTGTCTGCAACGCCAGCACCTATGAGTGCTGGCTGCAAGGTCCATATGGATCTCTGTCATCGCTGGAGAAGACCAAACGCAAAGGTATCTCTCTTTTTTTTGGCATTTTCTACTTTTGGGGCCAGGTCTTGCAGACCCTGGTGCTCCCAGGCCCTCGCCCGCAGAGCAGGCAGCTCTCCACACATTTCTAGGTGGTTGTCCCTGCACAGGATGTGTGGTTGTAGTGCCCGCAGCACTGCGTCAGGCACTGCACGCTCTCTGCCACGCCAGTCCAGGCTCCTGTGAAGGAGAGTGTCCCATTCTCGAGCACCGAGCTGGAAGGAGAGAAATGTGGTCAGGACAAGCTGTGTGGCTGGGGACCTACCACCTGGACCATATGGCTCCGGGGCCCTTTGTACCCACCTGGCAAAGAGCTGCTTGCAGCACATGTACATGGTGTAACTGGTAGAGCTGAAGTTGGCTGTACTGAGGAAGGTCACGCAGTCGCCCAGCTCCGTTGGCACGTGAAGGAGACCTGAGGGACAAGGTCTCCTGGCTGGGGCTCTTGAGGGGCCATGTGTGCAAATCCCATGCCCTTGAAATGTCCCCAGCCCAGACGAGGATGTGGGGTGCCAGCAGAGCTATGCAGCTTGGGCAGTCCCTGGCAAAGCCATGAGGGACTAACAGAAGGTTTGGAGACCCTGGCAGAGCCATAGGGAGGATGGGCCAGCCATTCCCATCCCCGCACCTCCATTTATTGAGTTCTTCAGCCCTTTGCCTGTCTCTGCCCGGTTCTTTCTGGCCCAGGCAGCATGCAGGGACCTACCTGCCAGGCAGGCATTGAGCATGGAGACGCAGATGCCGGTGAGCAGAGCTCTCAGCACAACGGAGGCCAAGTCGCCCTTCCGGTGGGGTACCATGGAGGCTATGGGGGTAAAGCAGAAGTCGGGGCGAGTCAGATCCTTCATCCAGCTCTTTCCCAGGATGGGCACAGGCAGGGACATTCCCCAGGTCCCCAGATGGGTTTACCACACGGTGCCCACCTCAAGCCCTGGTGCTGGGGAGCACTTGGCGATCACAGCCAGCACCCAGCACGCTGTCTGCCCATCCTGGCAGCTGAGGGTGCTAGCAGAGCACTGTGCCCACCCTGGACCCATGGGTGGTCAACCAGAGACCTCGGCGCTCTCAGCGCTGAAGTCTCTGCTCTTTACCCCATGGCTGGGTGGCACCTGGGCTTGTGGAACACGCACGTGCTCTTGCCCATGAGGGTGCAATGCAGAATCATAGACTCATAGCACGTTTTAAGTTGGAAGGAACCTTAAGTATCATCTAGTTCCAATCTCCTCGCCATATACAGGGACATCTCCTGCTAGACCAGGTTGCTCAAACCCCCATCCAGTCTGGTCTTGAACACTTCCAAAGATGAGACATCCAAAACTTCTCTGGGCAACCCGTTCCAGCATCTCACCACCCTCATAGTAAAGAACTTCTTCCTAAATTATCCCTATTGTGTCATGTGAGTCCTGTTCCTTATCTGTGTGCAGGCAGAGACCTAACATGGAGGCTTGAGTGCTGCAAATTCCTTCTGCCCCTTGCTCCCCAGGCCCAGGATTCCTTGTGCCGTGCCCAGGCATCCAGGACAGGGGTCACACTCACTCAGGCCTCCGAGCATGATCCCGATGGAGCTGAAGTTGGCGAATCCACAGAGTGCAAAGGTGGCGATGCTCTCGGCTCGCTCCTGGAGGACACAGTGGCAGGGAATGGTCATTTCCACCCAGGAGCAGCCCCAAAGCACCATGTTGTAGCTCCCAGCCCAGCCAGATGTGACAGACATGAGTTCCCCACCTCAATCCTTTCTCCTTCAGCTATTTTTGGGAGCAGGAGTGGAAATGGTTGTCAGCCTCTCCCTGGGAGAGGCTGGGCTGAGGGCACAGGTGATCCTGTAGCACCACCATCTGCCCCATCAAGGTGCAAGATAAAGGTCTTCACTGACTCCTTTGGGATGATTCCGTACCCAGCAGTTAGTGAACATCCAAGTCTAGTTGGACATGGGTGCTTTCCCACCCCAAACACCGTGATCTCCCTGCCTGCCCACCACCCCTCAGCCTGCCCAGGTCCCACGCCATGTTTTGCCCCTCACGGATATCCACTGCTTCTGGCTCCCATTCCACTCCTCCAGGCCTGACAGACGGTTCTTCTTGTACGTGGACAGCTGCTGGTACGCCACAAACTCATTCAGGAAGATCTTGATCCCCAGGAGCTCGGCCACCAGCGGTGAGTCCGCCCAGTCTGCCCCCATAAGAAAGGCTACGGGCATGAGGACGTAGGAGCAGATCACCTGGGAAAAGTGTCCCAGAAGGGAGCAACTCAGCTGATCACCTACACAGCCCCCATCTTGGACACTCCCTGCTAGCATTTGCCAAACACCTGTCAGGGGTCTCGGCAGCCCACTGAGGTGGTGGGAAAAGATGGGAGTGGGTTGAAGGTGAAGGATCTGGCAGCCCAGATCCATTGGGAAGTACCTGGAAGGAGAGTCCCTCAATGTCAACCATCTCCCCAAACCAGCGCAGGGCAGCATTGATGAACTCCAGCACTGCCAAGAAGGCAATAAGGTTGGCCGCGATGTTGGCCACCAGCCCCACAGAGGCAGCAGCCCCGTTGCTCGCAGCTTCCAGGATGTTCTGCTCTTCCCTGCGTGGATAAAGATCCTAATGGGCTCATGGTGTCCCCTGTACAAGGTCAGCTCTCACTCCATGGATGCCTGCACACCACAGGCTCTCCCAACCATGGCTGCCCACGGCATCCACTTGTGCCCCCAGATTGTCCCCATGGCTTCCTCACATGGGCAGTCCCACTCCACAGTCCGTCTCCTCACGCTCACCCTCTGGAGAGGCGGATGCTTGCTTTGCCTTTGAACTTGGACTCTTCCACTTCAGGGTAGATGAGCTTGGACATGGCGAGGGCACAGGGCGCAGCCATCACGGAGGCAGCAATCAGCGACGCCGCATCTATCTGCAATGCACACACCATGGGCTTAGGACACCCCCATGCAAGACCAGGGCATCCCAGCAGCAACATTTGGAGAAGTTCAGGGTGCTCTGTTAGCTCAGAGTGGGAAAAACTGAGACATCTCAGCTGGTCACGGCACATAGGGCAGCTTGCCTGGATGGTGGCACTGCTGGAGCTGCAGCAGTTGTGGCCTTGGAGATGTTAATCTCTCCTGCTGTTTGACCTCATCGTGATGATTCTTGCCCCTTCCTCATCCCTTTTTTATCAGTGTCAGAGTGAGAGGTTGCACAACATCGTGAACTTCTACCCGCTGACAAAGAGACACACTCCCGGTCTCGCCCCTTCCCTGCCCACTCCAAGTGGAAACGTCTCATTTCTCTGACCTTTCACCCTTGGCTCCTCGTTTAAGAAGACTAATTAATGTTTAAATAGCAGAAGCTCAGCCAGCGGGTCGAGGAGAAGGTTACAGAGCACTGATGAAGCCACCGTGTCCAGGGCAGAGACACAAAGAAGAGGAGAGGACATCCCTGGGGAGAGTATCAGGGCACAGGACCACCAAGGTGATGCTGGAGGAGCAGGGCTTGTTTGGCTGGGAGAAGCCAAGGAGCTGGGTTTGTAGTTGTGGTTCCCAGCATCTTAAAAGGAGGCTGGAGGAAGATGCTGCTCAGAGATGTCCAGTGAAAGGCTGAGAAGCAACAGCTTTTCGGTGGGGAAATCTCAGTTGGATATTAAGGAAAGAACTTCTTCCGTGTGATCGAGGCAACTTTGGCGTGGACCAGAGCATCCATGGGGATGTTCACCACCAACCTCAACAAGCCCCTGGGCATCCCCTTGGGCTTTGCCATCACCTCATTTGGGCAGGAGGGTGGAGCAGAGACCCTCCCGAGTGTCCTTCCAGGTTAATTATCCCATGATTCAGTGAGAGGACACACAATGAGGGTCTCATGGCAGTGCCTTCTACCTGCCTGGACTCCAGGGTTCTGGTCATGCCAGGGAAGGTGAGACAACACAGAGACACCTTGCCCTCACCCTGCCTGTGGAAGGGCACCATGGGGCACCACCATGGGGTGGTCTTCTCCCACCCACAAGTCCAGGGAAGTTCTTGTGTGTCAGGACACCATAGCAGGGAGCGTGTGGGACACGTCCATGGATGCACTCACCCCAAAGGATATGTAGGCCCCCATCACGCTGCCTGCAATGGTGGAGAAGCCACCAGTCATCACAGCGTGGATTTCCGAAAGGGTCATGTCTTCAAGGTATGGGCGTATGAGCAGTGGGGCTTCAGTCTGCAAGAGATAAAATCTTGTTGTCCTCAAGACAGGGCCACGCAGGGCCAGAGGTCTCCTGGGAAGGGAGGAGAAGACCCTTTCTCCAAGGCAGGCTCAGCTGCAAGGCCTGAGGATCTGGATCTCCTGCCGAGGACCTTACCTGTCCCACGAAAATGTTCCCTGCCACGCTCAGGGTCTCCGTGGGGGTGGTGCCCATTGAGACCTGAAGCAGC